AAAAGTCCATGAAATTAGTCAATCCCTGGCGAAGGAAAGGAAAAAAAAAATCTATTTGAAGTGACAAGAGGCCACTGTTCAGCAAGATCCCGCCACAGTAGAATGAAGGCCGCCACAACGGCCTTTATCTGGGTTAAACTTCAGGACGCGATCATGGCGCCCCTTAGCCCCGAAACCTCGTTTTAAACAAATTTTTCACCATATCAGTGTTTCTAGAGTACCCTAGTACCTAAATATGCAAAGACCCTAGCACTTCAACCCATAAATGGTTCCTGAATTCAAGTTTTACACCATGAAACTATTCAACTTCCCCCGCCCATTTTGGAACCGTTTCAACCATATTATCCTGAAATCCTTACGCTCAGAACGTTGTAGAGACATTGTGAACATAAGGGAAGTATCCATGCTACATTTTTCTTATTGAATCAAGCAACCCATGTAAACATTTTTTGAAAACTACCCCAAGGCCATTCTACCCAACCGATTCTTTTCATGTAGTCGTTGTTAAGCAAGTAATGAAGTAATTAGAGTAGGGATCAAGAACATTACCTTATGTTTGACGTTCGGAGCGAAGCAATTGAGAGAGTTTTGGGGTGGTTATGGGAGGAAATGGGAAACCATTCCCCTTTCCCCCCTTCTAAATTGGTCCCAACCTCCTGCCACGGCGAGAGGGTCCTGTCACAGCGAGAGGGTCCCGCCACAGCGGCCCCGCCTCAGCGGGAACCTTGCCGCTTTGGCGGGGTCAGGCCAGGCAAATGGGCACGTCTTTTTTCCTCCGTGTGTTGCCTCGTTTCCCTAGTGGTGTCCCTGGGTAAGGATCCTTCCTTGCCTAAACCTTGGGAACCGCTATCTTTCGTTGTCCCATGACGGGCCGATCCGTTAGTTTCAAAGTACTCCAAATGAAATTGTGCTTACTCTTCCGCTTGTCGTTCGAGGACGAACAAGGGGTAAATTGGTATCTATTGTTGTGAACACCTAATTTTTTATCAAACTTAAACATTTTACACCATTTTTAATATATAAATATTATTATTTCAATAGGTTTATATTTAAAATAAATGAAATAAAAAATTACAACAAATTATATGTTCCCTTTATATTTAAATTTTACTAGTCTCAAATAATAGTATATGGTATAAAAAAAAAAGAGTCCTAAAATATTACCTTACCTTTTTTCCTAATCACCCTCAAACTCCCATAACTTATTTCTCCTAAAAATCCTCCTCCCATTATTTTTCTTATTTTAATTATTTTTATTTTATTTTTTTCTCACCATGATTGCACGATTTTTTTTTATTTTCTTCACATCCCACGTTTTTTTTCTTCATTTTTTTATTCTCTTTCTTTCTCTTTTTCTTTTTGTTTGTTTTTTCTTGTTTTATTATTATTTTATTTTTCTTCCTTTATCTCACCCTAAAAAAATTCAACTAAATTTTAAACTATATTTCATTCCCCACTCCCTCACGTTCCTTTTAATTAGCACCAGACTCACACCCAAAAATATTATAAAAAAACACAAGCTCAGTAAATAACAGAAAAACACAGAAAAGAACATAGAGAGAAAAATACAGAAAAACGATAGCAAAAGCAAAGAGAAGAAAAAAGTGAGTTTTCTTTTGTGAATTAAGTTTAGAGCTCGAGGTTTTGTTCATCATTTCAAGTTCGTGGATCTTAAAGTTAGTCTTGCTAAACTTTGGAAATCTGTACATTTGTACGTTACTCTCCATTGGTTAGTCAAAACAATTTGAAGGAGCGTTCTTGCCATAGCTTGTTTATTTTATTAATATTTTTTTATTTAAACTATGTGTTTGATCCTTTTATGTATAATCATGAGAAGATATGTGTCTTATGAATTTCTCATTTTTTTTCTCTTGAACGATGTTTCCGGTTTTTTATTGTTTTTTTTACGTTAGCCTCATGTTATGTTTTTTTTTCTCGTAATTTAAGAAGACATTAGCATGTTAGTTTGCAACTAGATGATAATTCCATGTATTTAATCACGTGCTCATTATTGAATTGCTTAGATATTTGATTATTAATCAAAGTGTTTAGGAGCTAATATATTAGGTTCTCAAGAATTAATTGAGTCATCTTGTGACATTTAGTGATCGCATTTCATGAAAAGAGCGAGAGAACATATGAGTTTAAGGATTCATCTTGAGAAAGATAAAAAAATAATAACAATTAAAAAAAGGATAAGAAAAGAGGTAGAAAAACGTGAGTAACAGATGCAGAAAAGAAAGAACCTTAAGTAAAAAAAGAGAAGGAAAAAACCTACAGGAAGTAAAAAAAAAAGAAGCAAAACAATAAAAAAAATAACAAAAAAGAAAAGAAGAACAAAACGTGCAGAATATAAAAAAAAAATATATAATGATTTTTTTTTAAGGAACAAAACATTTATTTTGTTTTAAGAAAAAGTAAGAAAAAAAAGGGAATAGAAAACGTGTCAAAAACAGAAAACAAAATAAAACAAGAAACAAATAAATTAAGCAGAATTGAAAGAATATAATAATAATAATAATAATAATAATCTATCTATATATAATAGGAGAGGAAAAAATGCCACATGTTAGCGCCACAATTAATGCTCAAAAATTAAGTATTTAAAAAGTCAATTTAAAAAAATAAAAAAATAAACAATTATTAAATTAAAAAAAAACATTTTAAAAAGAAAATGAAAAAGGCATCTCCCACGTGGGTAATTTATAAAAACAAATAATCTACAGTTCTTTTTAAGGAAATATGCAAAATTTATGAATTATTAATATTAATTTAAAATATGAAAATAAAATAAAATTTGTTAAAACTAAAAAAAGATACGATTTTACAAAAAAAAATTAATACAATATAAAATAAAATAAAAAATTACGTAACTTCCATCTTTGGTCTCCTTTTTTACTTCATTTTTGATTTTTTTTGAAAATGATAGTTATCCAAATCAATATCCTAACAGATAAGTTTTTGAAATTTGAGTGATTAATTTACAATTTAAATTTTAAAAGATAAATAACTAATTTTATTCCTACAAAATAGTTAACCGCATAACACACACATTTAAATAACAAATATCATTTTCAACTGCACCATTTACATTTTCCCAAAAACTTACTTATTTCAGAATTCTTATTCTCTTATACTTTTTCAACTACTTAAACATGGTAACATTTTTTGCTATTCAAGTTTGCTTTTATGATTAGTTCATGAGTATGAAGAGAAGATCATTTGGTTTAGAAGAGTTCAAAATAGATTCTGACATTGATATTTCTTTTAAGATAAGTTCATAGTTTTTCATTCATATTAATAAAAAGGAGTATGTTTAATTTTGATTACGATAAGAAAGGAGTATGCGTTATACTATTAATTAGCATGCTTATTTAAATTTTGAAAGGAATTATGTTTAGCTTTTGTTTTATTGCAGTTATGTTGCCGGTTGATATAGATACTACTCTACTTCTTAGATCCATAATATAACATGAATTGATCTGAATTTTGAAATATACAATATGTATATATTACATAGAAATATGACTTTGTTCTCTTTCTCTGTTTTTTTGCAGGGAAAATAACTTTGAAAGAAAGTGATAATTTTTGTAGAGTTTCAACTACCAAGCAAGATAAGAGAAAACACTATGTTAGAAGCCTCTAAATGATACTGCATGTTTTTACTATGAATTAAGGTAGAGGAGTGGTGGCATTACTCATTAGTCAAGGGCCTTCATGGGTTTGTCCCAATCTCATATATATCAATGGTTAACTGTCAATCTCACTCTATAACAATTACCATCTCAATCTGAAAAGAGGTAAAAATCTAAATCTATTAACAACAATAATAACATACCATTAAAATCCCACAAGTCCACAACAAAAAAAATATTCATCATGTTTCAATTTATGTGATGTTTTATTATATTTAAGAAAAATGTGAATACTTTGCAATGATTCAAAACTATTCTTAAAATAAATAAGTTTTTAAATACAAGAACTATTTTTGGGAAATTATATCAAAATATTTCTAACCAGACATTACCGTTCCATGTTGGAGTCCTAAAAACCTGAAACCATAAATCAATGTATGTTTAGGACTTCTCTACTTTCTTTTTATTTTTGAAATTTATCAAATTTTATATCAAATATTTAAACTAAAAATAAATTTAAAAACTAATTATCAATTTTTTTTTATAAAATAAGTTAAAAATTGTGGATCTTTACAGGTGAAATGGGGTAGTTTTTTTTTCATTGCTTTTAAAATTTCATTAAATTATATCCATATAATACACCTTATTTAATAATATAAATAAAAACTTTCAATCCATAAAATAATAAAATAAAAAGAACCCACGGCCATTAAATGATCAATTTAAATTTGAATTTCAAATATTAACTAACCTTAACCTTATAAAATGGTCTAAACTTCCTTAACCTACATCTTTAAAAATAAATTACTACTTTAACTACATCATCCACACATTTTTAAACCAACTCATCAAATTACGAATTTAAAAATGTGTAAAACAAAGATCACTTTCTAACAAAAAATTGATTGCCTTCATGTGAGATCCTAAAGAAAATTGAGAGGGAGTATAGTAGTGCATTGTGTGTATATATACATCCTCTTTCTAAATTGTTTAATATAAAATTATTAATTATTAATTTATAGTACAATTGCAATATAATGTACCTATAGTATCAAAGTACGTGGATATCCCTGCTACAATTTTTGTGGAGAGGCCTTGAAGCCTTATAGTTTGTTGGGAGCAGGATGATCATGTCAATTTCTGCATTTCAGGTCATTGAGATGAAACTTCAGTTCAATCTAATCTTCAAATATCAACTTCCATTTTGCTTATTGTCAACCCACACTATCACAAAAATCACTTTTAGCGGCAATTATTTAATGGCAATAATATAAATGCCGCTAAATTATGTTTTACAATCCATTATTACCGGCAATTGACCTTTAGTCGGTATAAGTTGACCCAGTAATGGCAATTACTTGGAATATCTAATAGACCATTTCATTAAAAAAATACTTTTTATTCTAAAATACCCCAACATTCTGTACAGGCTATAGCTAAACCCATTTCATTCCCAAAATCCCCAAATTCCAAAAGGCTTCAATCTCTCTTTCGACATCCGGCAATTTGATATTCACACAATTGATATGAAGCACCATCAATTTCTCTGAAGCTTCATCTTCTTCGTCTTAGATTTTGTCGTTTGCATCTCCGTCTTCTTCATCCGCCATCAATTTTCTCAACCCTTTGCCACCTCCTCAAGGTACGCCGCATTCTATTTTTTTGTTTTGAATGTGATTGGATGATGATGAATGTTTTGTGTATAAGCGATGAAATTGCCATATATGAGAATTGCACTCTTGCAGTGAAGTTGTAGTTTGCTGCGATAGAGTTGTAATTTGTGCATGACATGTTGTGATAAGCTTGATTTGTAAAGAATTTTGCTCTGTATTTGCCTTTGCTCTATTCAGTTTGCTTGGTATCTAATGCAGCAATTTGTACCGTGCTTAGTGCAATCATTGTCTATTTTATGGTTTTCTTTTTCAAACCATGCTTTTACTAATATGGTTTTTTTGTGTATGACTGTAAAATCATGATATATAAGGATTAGTATGTGTAGTTTCCAGAGAGTTGTACTCGTACTCTGTGCATTGTACTACGCTCTACTTTCGTTAATGTGACTCCTTTTAGATTTCGCTTTTTCAAAACTTGAGTTTGATTTGATTAGCGTAATATAGCTTTGACGAACATAGCTTAGAAAACCTGTATAAATTAATTAGATTTTGTTTTCTTCTGTATTTAGCTCGAGAAAATGAGTTAAAATTCTCTATAGCGTAGAACATGATTTAAGATTTCACAATAAAACTAACAGCAGCCTCTTGGAGGTGTGGTTCCATAGTTGTTTTCTTTAATAGTTTGTTTGCAAGTTTTCACATATTAGTATGTATACGCCTAAATTTGTAAGCATACCAGTGAAAAATCATGAAATTTTTCTAATAAACTTGTACCAGATAATCAACATGGCATAAGAAAACTTGTGTTTTCTGCAATTGCTAGGTGTAGTAACATTGCACGGATACCATAGTCATAAAATTTGGTTAGTTGACATGAGAGGGGCTAGTTTGTAAAGGCCTTTGTGTGTGAGTTAGTGACTGTTATGGAAAGGTTTAGTGTTAAAGCAGTAGTTTTTAGTTACTAAACTTATTTCTAAATTCTGGTGCATATACGTTTCTTTAGAACTCCACTAGTGATTACTTCATCGTCCAGCTCTAGAACTAGCTCATGACCTTCTTGATCACAACTTACACCTGGCTAGAGGCAACAATTGATGTTTAGATCCTATCTAACCAGTTTGGTTGATTTAGAAGAATCGAATGTAAAGTTGTTGAGTGTCTTTTGGTAAGTAGTTTACAATATAGTGTATGATCACCTGTATCTTGTCACGCCAGTTTCCTAGGAAGGGAATACTTAAACTATTTGTTTTGATAGAACACATTTCATCTTTGGTTTCAGTGTGTGAGCACTACCACAAATTTGCAATTTGTCAGCTTGAAGGTCCAATTGAAGGTGAGACCGGGAAGGCTCATAGAGCAAATTTTCGTGACTGTGATGGGAGAACTATTCTTATCTTGAGAGTGGGAATGCATGTGATTTAAAACACCAACTCTAAGTATTTAAAATATGTATTTCAATAATTACTGAAAGAAATTCTTGAATGATTTTTCATAGTTTGAAAGTCTCTAGTTTCCTCCCAGGTAAGTTTTCTTCCATTACCGCTAACTTCCAGACTGTAGCTATGCTTTCAAGCTTCCATCTCTACTGCCATTAGCTTTTTTGGTTTATCTTTAATTATGATGCTGATGTGTTATGCATATCTATATGACTGGTCAGATTTGGAATATGCTTTGTTCCGGAAGTCAGATTATGGAAAGAGTTCACCTGCAGGTTTGAAGAAAATAGATAAGGAGCTGATTTTGAAGAACGAAAATGCTAAATAGAGTTGGTAGCAGATTGGTAGCTGAACAACATCATGATGAAGAAGCACGACCCTACATTCAACAATTAATGAAAACCCAGAGCTGCTATCCACTCCAAACATCTGAGGATAACAATTCTATTGACACTGTTGTTGAGCTGAACAATGAGCCAGGTTATTTCTTAAAACTTGAATTTATAGATTATCTGCATAATAAGATCTAAATACATGATAATGTATCTAGTACTAGTTGCATTTTGCAAACTTATGTGAGTATGTATTCTCTCTGGTTTGCTTGATTGTTGTAGTATTGATGTCTGTTTTCTCTCTCTGAAGTGTTTTTCTGCTGGTTATATCCTTTTGATATGTTGTATTGTCCTCTTCTTCTCAGTTTGGACTGCTGGTTAAGATGGAACTCTGAAGACTGTCGGTAATCCGAGCGGTCATCTTCAATCTAGTTTAGCATCCGAACTCAAAGAATAAATCCTAATCGAAATATATACAATTTTTTATACAGTTTGATGATTGTATGGATGGATCTATCCTTTTATCCGAGCAAGGAGTCTGTTAAGATTTAATACATATTGTTATTGAGCCCATGTGTCTAGCAGTTCTAACCAGGTATATGCACCCTTTTTCTCCTTAACGGGCTTAGAGCCATGGTTGGCTAGACGAAGTTACAAAGATAAAGCCACTAACAATATTATAGAATCTGACTGTACCACCATCTCAGAACCAAATCAAGAAACCATATATAAATTTATTTATATTTTGATAAAGTCTAGATCTTTCATGGTAGATATAAAAGAGAAGTTAGTTATCCGACGTAGATATGAATCTTTAGCCGAACAAAGTCACGGCTCAGATCGGAGAAATATAAAAAGATTGAAATAAAATATAATACCTTATAACGATGGCCGAGTCCAAGGCCTATGGGAGAACTATACACGTTTATTTACTTCCGGTCAATATTCGGCGAACTCAAACTTTACAAATTGTGAGCTTTACAATTGGAGAGAGAGAGAGAGGGATTTCTCAGCTGCTCCCTAATGAAATGAAAAACATTCCTACTTATAGAAAAATGATAAAAAAATATTTAAAATCTTTGTACAGTATTGTTGGATCCCATATACTATTGATGATGGCTTTTTACTGTAGAGATGTCCTTATAGTTTGTCTTTTTCCTTTAATTTTTGGAGGAAATCCTCCGCCTTTTTCAGAGTATCTTCTGACGTAGCTGCTTCAACAGGTTGAGCTTCTTGGATATCTAGTGTCTTCGCTTGTTTCACTTCTCATAGAAGTGTCCGATTTCTCGTATTGAGTGATGTTGAGAAGCAGACTTCTCTTGACTTCTTCTAGCTAGTTGTTGATCATTGCTTCTTTATCTCCATCTTGAACGAAGATTTTCCTGGCACTATGCCTGACTGAGCTATCAGCAATTACTCCTTTTTGGGGAGTAATACCATATTTGTGGATCCTATTTGCAATAAGATCCAACAGTTCTTGCCCATATAACGTTTTTGTTTTGGGATCCTTTTTCATCAATTTATCCCAAAAATTATTATAAAAAGTTCTGTATAAGCAAGGAATTTGTTCTTCGGTGAATCCCACTTTCGAGGTCCATTTATGAATTCAAGGGATGAAAAATTCAATGAAGAAGTAAATCTGGTCTATTTTCTCCAGATAATAGATATGATATGTATTGTATAATTCATTAAGGTCTAGTGAAACTTTAACCCATTCTTTATATAATTTGAGAAAGGAATGTGGCAAAAATTTTATAGTTGGACCGTGGTATGACCACCATTTTAAAAACCAATTAGGAATTAGTCCTGCAAATAAATATATTTGCACATATTTTCATAAACCACGTATGTTTATGTCTTTCGTTATTATAATAGAGGACTTTATCAAAGACCTGAATATAATCCCAGTATGTGAAACTCATAGAGATTTTGTTTAGGTTGATCTGCCTTTCTTTCATGGTGGAGATACCCCAATCTTCAATAGATATAATCTGTTTAATTACATTTTCGAGAAGTTATAAACATTCTCACTTGTATTGTATCATGAAAAGTGTTGAAATTCAACACTACCAGTGCTTATCAGAATGATTTCGTAATATGATTGGGTTTTGTATGACTCACCCGGAAAATATAACCCATTTATTAGGTATCGCTGGAATATCTTCCAGGGTTCTTCTTTTCTTTGTATTTCAGAGTTTTCTAAAAGAAATATCATTTCCTTTTTTGATACCTTTTCATAAGACTTGATATCATCATTGTCTTCTTTGGCTATTGATGCAAAAGTATCATTTTGCTTTTGTGACATATAAGCTTGTAGCTGTGCATATAACGGGTTATCTTCTGGAATATCTTCTAGATGTACTGAAGAATGTGCTGAAGATGGCGCTTCACTTTGGGAGATTCTTGAGTTTATCAAACTCCTTCTTCCCATTTGTATAACTGGAGTCTTAGAAGAGGATCCATATGATGATCCTGGGGATGATCTTCCCCTTCCTTTTGTATTATATCCCCTGCCTCTGTCCTTGGTTACCCAAGGAGGGTCCATCCTGCAAACATAACATTTTGCTTTATTCGGATGTATCATAATAGTCACTTTAATAATTATCCTCATCGATATCGATAATTTCTTCATAATCATGTATAGAGAAATCTTCTCTAATAATATCGTTGATAATTTCACATAAAATTAATTCATGTAAATCTTTATTCAGAGGAATTACCTTTAAAATAGTAACTAAAGTTTTCTCATCAATGAGGACGGTATAAAAACTCATTATGATGATAAATATTCTCTAGATAGAAAATCTGGAAGCGAGTTATCACTTCCTTTTTTATATTGGATTTCAAAATCAAAAGGAGTTAATTGGGTCTGCCACCTAGCAAATATTAATTTTGATGCATCATGTTTAAAATCTTTGTTAAACATATACTTCACAGATTGAGCATCCGTTTTTATCAATAACTTTTGATTATATAAATCATCCTGAAATTTTAACACGCATTTAACGATGGTTAATATTTCATGAGCCTCCGTAGCATATTTCTTCTGGGCCTCGCTCTATTTCCCAGAATGAAATCTAATCAAATATTCATTTTTTTCATTGGGATTAATTTGTTTTAATATCCCATCATAATCAATATTAGATGCATCTGTCTCAATAATTTTTTGCCAGGCAGGTTAGCAAGAGTTAAGCATGGTAAAGATTGAACACGAAGTTTAATATCCTTTACCAAAGTGGTATGACTATCAGTCCAAGGTGATTTATGATCCTTTTACAGCCTGCCGTATAAAGGGTCCAAATCACGAGATAAATTTTTATAAAAAGGGGATATGTAATTTAAACTCCCTAAAAATCTTTGCAATTGAGTTATATTAGTGATAACATCACGAAATTTTGATGCAAAGTCGATTGATCTTTGAATCGGGGTAACTTTCCCTTGACAAATATGATGTCCTAGAAATTGAACATCAATTTGAAATAAACTCATTTTTGGTTTAGAAATGACCAAACCATTTTGTATAACAATTTTCTTAAAGATGTCTAGATGCTTAATATGTATTTCAAACGTTTTTGAGAATACCAAAATATCATCAATATAAACAATGATAAAATCTAAATATGGGTTGAAAATATCATTCATGATTTTCTGAAATTCAGATGGAGCATTTTTCAAACTGAATGGCATACCATTCCATTCATATTGTCCAAATGGGACATTAAAAGTTGTTCTATAAGCATGCTCTTTAAATATTTGGATCTGCCAATATCCTGACTTTAGATCAAATTTTTGAAAATATATTGGCATCATATAATCTAGATGATAAATCTTTTTTGTTTGGAATAGGATACCTAATCCATTTTAAATATTTATTTAAAGGTTTATAAATTGATAACCAATCTAGGGACACCTCGTTCCCTTTCAGCAACATTATTAACATAAAATGCAGTACAAGACCAAGGTGATTTTGAAGGTTTTAACAAACCCTTTTGTAACAAATTATCAATTTTCTTTTTGCAGAATTCTACCAATTCGGTGTTCATCTGACAAGGACGAGATTTAGTAAGAATATCATTCTCAGAGAAATCATCTTCATATGGAAGAGTAACAATATGTTTTTTCGATTTCAAAAAGCACTGGGATGATCAGCACAAATATCAATAGCAATTTGTTCAGCAATTAATTTAATTCTTTCTTGTACTTTGGTAGATTTCAAAGTATCAAATATATTTATACTAAATAATTCTAGTTGCAAAGAATCAACATGCTTTAGTTTCATATTAATCAAAGCATTAATATCACGAGAAATAGGGTCAGTGATAAAAGTATAACTAATATCTTTGTCTTCATAAGTAGCAAAAAAATCTTTAGCATTTATGCTAGTGAAAGGATAAATAGCATTTATAACTGGGGTTCCAAGTATAATTGGAGGGTATAGCTTATTTTTAACCAAGAAAAAGAAATGCGGAATGAAAATTTTATTTTGACAAATGTGAGTATTAGACAATTTATACTTTATATCTAAAGCATGTCTAGAAGCAGATTTAACCATATGAGTTGTTTTTTCAAAATATTTAGTTGGTACAAGACCTTCTTGAATACAACTAACATCGGCTCCACTATCAATCATAGTAATATCAGTTATTGAAAAACTATTATCAATTAATATGGTGCATTTAACATACCATTTATGACCAATAACAATTTGCATTATTCCTAAAAACATACCTTGTCTAGGATCAATATTAAGAGGTTTTGCAAGAGTATTTTCTTCAACAATGTTTTTACTCTTGTTATTAACAATTTCTATCTGAGTAAGTCGATGATCACAAATCATTTGATTTTGTTTAAGAGATTTAATCTCTTTTTTCAAATCATCAAAAGAAGAATCTCTTGTGTGAGTAGTTTGTTTATTAAGTCTGTCAATAATTTCAGACAAAGAATAAGGTGCAGAATATTCAAATTCAAAATCATTCTTTTGTTTTTCTGAATTTTTTGAAAAACTTGAACTAGCATTATTATTAGCTGCTAAATGAATAATTTTTTCACGAAGATCATTATTAGTAACTTCTTTTAAAAGTTCTATTACATTATTAGCTGTAATAGTATTCATATTCAAATCTTCTAATTGAGATTGCAATTTATAAAATTCATCATTTTTACAAGAACAAATATCACCATGACAAGTATTGCAAGTATTAATATGCTGGTTACTATTAGATAAATCAAGCAAATCAATCTCTTCTTTAGAACTTGAATCAGAATCAGAATCAGACTTAAAACCAGAAGTGTATAAGAAACTATAAACCTTGTCATGAACTTCTTCATCAAGTTCTAGAGATTTCAACTTTTC